AGAGAGAGAGAGAGAGAGAGAGAGAGAGAGAGAGAGAGAGAGAGAGAGAGAGGAGCTCAATTCTTGATTTTAAAAAGATAGACATAATTAGTTTTAAATGTCATTTATCCGATCTAAATGTATATGCACGTTTGGTCGAGAGAATGCTTCTTAGCAAATTCTGTAGCTTGATTGATAGTTTTCACTAATTGACTGAAAATAAACTATCCCAGACACAATTATTGATTACATGCAGGATATCCTGATGATAATTCAGGTCCAGGACATCAAAGAGAGTGCTTATATAATTATTATATTAAATCATTACCATCACCACAACTTAATACTCTCTGAACATTTTAATAACTACTTTATACCTATTTCTTAACTTCCACGTTTAAACTCTCTAATCAAATCAAACAATAGTGTGTATGTGTGTGTTTATTTTTATGTATTTTTAAAGCCAAGTCAACCTATTGATACATTGGGTTGAAAAAAACCATTATAAAGCCAATAGGACAGAATATTTGTAGTTCGGACTTGGACTGTGGAGTCCTTGATGCTCTCTGGACTTGGTTGTTTCCTTGAAGACATTTCATTACCCAAGTAGGTAACATCATCAGTGCTAGTTGTTGTACATTTCTATATGCAGAGCCATTATAAAAAGCATCCCATGTTAGACATCTTTGAGCTAATCTGGCTGCAAGCCTAAAGGATAAAATCCTTCTCCAGTGGACCAGTTAAAATAGGGTGAGGAGAGAATGGGGGCCAACACTTAGACGGCAATATATCCAATAACTAAGCCATAATTTGGTGAAACGAAGGTTAGTCTTCCCATAAAAATCTCGATGGATAATTCTCTTAAGGCAACTGGGGTTTACGCTCCTTGCAAGTTGTGGTAGAGGCAGAATGTTATTCCACCATTCCCCTTGCCGATTCACAAGCTCCAAATAGACCACGGTATCCTATTAAGCCCATAAACAAACAGACAAATCTCCTTAATCCCAGTGAGATTAAAACAGAGCCCCCAGGACCCCTTTTGTCTGGCTGCAAAAAAGTCATTTATTTATTTTTTTAAATCAAAGGTACTTTTCCCTGGACCTGTTGCATATGCTTGGTGGAGGAGAATTACGCTTGACAATAAATAGCTTGGAGCTGTCACGGAGTACCAAGTAAACTGTGATGCTATGTATCATAAGAAAATTAAGGATAAAAGATAAAGATCCTGGGGTAAACCTTCCCTTCTCTTCCATCTTTTTCCTTTCCTTTTCCTTTCCTTTCTTTTCCCTTTCCCTTTCCCTTCCCTTCCCTTCCATCCTTTTCCTTTCCTTTTCCTTTTCCTTTCCTTTCCTTTTCCTTTTCCTTTCCTTTTCCTTTCCTTTTCCTTTCCTTTCCTTTTCCTTTTCCTTTCCTTTCCTTTCCTTTCCTTTTCCTTTCCTTTCCCTTTCCTTTTCCTTTTCCTTTCCTTTCCTTTTCCTTTCCTTTCCTTTTCCCTTCCCTTCTCTTCCATCTTTTTCCCTTCCCTTCCATCCTTTTCCTTTCCTTTCCTTTTCCTTTCCTTTCCTTTTCCCTTCCCTTCTCTTCCATCCTTTCCTTTTCCTTTCCTTTTCCTTTCCTTTTCCTTTCCCTTTCCTTTTCCTTTCCTTTCCTTTTCCTTTCCTTTCCTTTTCCCTTCCCTTCTCTTCCATCTTTTTCCCTTCCCTTCCATCCTTTTCCTTTCCTTTTCCTTTCCTTTTCCTTTCCTTTTCCTTTCCTTTTCCTTTCCTTTTCCTTTCCTTTCTTTTCCCTTTCCCTTCCCTTCCATCTTTTTCATTTCCTTTCTCTTCCCTTCCATCATTTTCCTTCCCTTCCCTTCCCTTCCTTTCTTCTATGTTTAATCCTCTCAATCTCCAGGCTCAGGAATGTCAAAAGATTGAAAGAGGACCTGGAAGGCTACAGACCACCAATTCGATATATTAGATTCACCTTTTCGGCCCAAAAAACCGCATACCCCATCTGATGGCACTTTTTGCAAGCTGCCAACCTGAAATTTTGGGGAGGAACAGAGCCCCGTTATTCTCCAGCGGCCAAAAATAAGAAAAAATTAAAAGATTCTTGTAGCCCTTTCCCAACTGATAAATGTTATTAAAATGCATAAGTTTCATGAGCTGGAAGCATATAGCTTTTAATAAAACACGCTCACCCGAAAAGGTGCTACCGGATTGCTGGTTTTTCTGAGAATTACGAGCAGTCTAAACAGCCCCATCTAAAATATACCTGAAATCAAAAATAAATAAAAGTTTGCAGGAGGACTGCATGGTTGACCAGGAACAAGCCCATTTCCTTGTGCCTGACTGCCTTCTGACTCCCGGTGAAGTCCTGTGGAAGAGCATCCTACAAATAGCTTTCTCTGTTTTCTTACCACTCTCTTAAGAAGCGTAAATGGATGCCCCGAGATTCCAGGGGAGGAAATCCCCACTTGGCTTGGCTCTAAGCAGCTCCGCGCTTCCCGGTTTCCTCACATTTAGGCCTTCTCCAACCTGGTTTGCAAATGCGGCTTTCTCTCCTAAACGATTCCCAACTGGGCATCATCGATTCGAGAGAAAAGTGATTTTTTTAAAAAAATCTCTTTGGTTCCCTGCTGATCTCAAAAGGAGGTTGGCCGCTGATCAGCTCCGTCTCTCAAATTAGATTTCTTCTCAACGTTCTTAAACATGAACGGGAAACAATTAACTTTCAAGGGGGGTTGCAAAAAAGTTTGCTAAAATAAATTAGCAGATATTGTTCGATGGGTGGCCAAATCTACTTCACACTTCGTCCTGTTTCCTACTCAGAAAAGTTATTGCCTTTAAAACTTTACATTTGGTGTGTTGGATATGTTCACTGCCTCGAGTTATTTGTAAAAAAATAATAATAATTCAGCCACAGCGTGAATGTCATAGCAATGAAGCATTTTTATATTACAGATATATTGTCTTGCCTTTTTTTTTTTCCTTTAAGGTGATTAAAATTTCACTTTTATCTCCCAGATCACTCTGTAGTACAATCAGTGCTTATTATCTGGCCTGCAATAACTGTCTGGAAAACTGCACCTATGTTCTCTTCAGCAACAAGATTACTTTTTTAACAGATCTGTTGATGCACCAATTAATGGTAGGTAAAATTTTCAAGTCTGAATTAATGCTATTAACATCCCAACGCTGGGAAAAAAATCACCTGGCGGAACAAAACAATTTTTTTAAAAAAAATCTGGGCTTAAACTGGGATTTAATCTGTCTAGGAAGGGGATGTATTTCCCCAAAAATTAGGTCTCCAACTACTTCAGGGATGTTCCCGAGCCCCTAGTGGGTGACAGTGGTTAAAAATTCTATTTGTGTGATATGCATTAACTGCAATGATGGTAGAATTTGACAATTGTTCCTGAGGCTTGTAGTCCGAATAAATACGCCAGTCCAGAAAAAAAAGCAAATTTAAGAGAGAAGCATATTTTCTTCTAACGTTTCTACCTGGTCCCTTTTTCTTCTCCCACCTTCCAACTCCTTACCATCTTCAGTTCTTCATGTCTGGATGGCAGAGGTTCGAAATAGACTCGACTAGACAATATATTGAAAATATCAAAAATGTTAAATGGGTGGCAAATCAGCCCTTCTGATTTTTCTACGATTCACGCCGATTCTAAGTTAGCGCAGGCTCTGGCCTTCTACGGGCCGCTGTTCTCAGAAACTTACATACCTTAACGCCCCTCGGAGCAGGATTTTGCAAATCAAATTTACCGAACAAGAGCTTTAATGGAAGAAGAAGAGGAGGAAGAAGAGGAAGAAGAGGAGGAAGAAGAGGAGAGGGGTAGGGGGAGGAGGACGAAGAAGAAGAAGAGGAGGGGGGAGCGGGAGGAAGAAGAAGAAGAAGAAGAAGAAGAAGAAGAAGAAGAAGAAGAAGAAGAAGAAGAAGAAGAAAATGTTGACTTCCCCCTTCAATTTAGCTGTCATTAAATATTTCATCAGGAGTTCATTTTTAATTCATAGTGACCCGCTCATCATGAGATATTTAGTCTGGAATTGCTACTTATAAATGGTGGGGAGGGGTGTGTTTGCAAGAGGCAAGTGGTTGGTTAATTGAAAAGTTGTGTATGTGCCGTAAATAATTCACGCTACCCTGTTTGAGCCAGAGAACCATCGGGCGATTGATAAACACTTAAGTGTAGGTCCTGGGGGGGGGAGTGGGGGGAAAGAGCCCACCGTGTCGTTAGACAAATGGAATCCGAACACGGCTTGTACATTCGGCTTCTCAGTGGTCTCATGTCCTCTTGTTTCTTTTCCAATTTGTCCCCCCGGAGGAATTTGCGTATAACAAAACACCCTCCGGGACTCTGGCACGCAGGAAACCGCAAGGCTTAACGAGAGTTCATTATTGACCAATCCAAGTTACAAGGGCACCAAAAGAAGTGACTTGACGACCATTTTTTTTCACCGTGACAACCTTCTTTTTTTAAAAAAACAAAACAAAACCATCATGTATGGTTTGATCAGAAAAAGGAAAATGCAAACCAGTCAAACAAACAAGCAAAACGAAAGAAATCGAAAGCATACATACAACCAGGGCTGGGCTGCTGGGGGTTGGCACAGGGGTCCGGGAGAGCCCCCAGCTAAGATTCTGTGCAGTTCAGAGAAACCCCCCCCCAAAAAACCCACTCCTGGCTGGCCCTGCCTACCCCACCCTGCCCCTCCCAAGTGTCCCCACATGGCCCATTTTGGGTGCAGGTAAGTGCAGGGCCTGCAGGGAGGCTCAGAGAGGGCCAAAAAAATGGGCCTCCCAGAAGTTCGGGAGGGGCGGAAATGAGCCCATTTCCGGCTTCCAGAGACCCTCCAGAGCCCGGGGAGGCCATTTTCACCCTTCCGGAGGCTCGACAAAAACCTCCGGAGCCCGGGGAGGGCAAAAACGCCATGCGCGCACACACACACACACACACACACACACACGCACACGCCGTGGTGCAGGAAACCATCTAGGCCACGCCCAACATGGCCACATCCACCCAGCAACCGGGCAGAGAACCCCTTGCTAAAATTTTTGACGCTCGCCCCTGCACACAACCCTAAAAACCAACAAGAAGAAAAAAAGAAGTTACAACCTTTGTAAGCATCCGCCGTGATCACGGGATCTAAAATTCAGGCGCTTGGCGACTGGTTCATACTTTTACGACCATTGCTGTGTCCAAAGCAAAGTCCGTGGGAAGGCCCCATTTCACTAAACAAACCGGTTTAACTGCCTCAATCAACCGCCGCGATTCGTTTTAACAACTGCGGCAAGAAAGGTCTCAGAATGGGAGGGGGGGGTCACTTAATGACTCACTTAACAACAGAAAATTGGGGCTCCATTGTGGTCGTAGGTTGAGGGCTACCTGTAGAGTTGGGAACCTCCCTTTTTGCGGAATCCTAACTTGTACAATTAACCTTCAAGAAAGAAAACTCTGATCTTTCTCTAAAATCTGATACCCACCCTAAAGAGCAGTGGTGGATAACCTTTTGGGGGCTCCTGTGCCCAAAAGTGTACGTGCGCATGCACACACATGCCAGTACCCAGAAGGCAATGTGTGTGGCCCCCACAACCCCTGTGCATGCACGCACAATCCCCCCCACCGCCGCCTTACCTGGACTACACCTCACACTTGATTTTTCGGCCTCCCAGCGGCTTTTTTCAAGCCTCTGCAGGCTTTGCAGGACGAATAATAGGCCTGTTTTCGTCACTTCCGATATTACAGGAAATGATGAAACGGGCCTAATATTCAGACCGCAAAGCCTGCAGAGGCTTGAAAAAAGCCGCTGGGAGGCCGAAGAAGGCCTCAAATCATCCGAAAAATCAGCTGTGAGGCGCGCGCATGCACAGTGAGGTACGGTTGTCTGCGGCTCGTGTGCCGGCACAAATGGCTCTGCGTGCTACCAGTGGCACACGTGCCATAGGTTTGCCCTCACGGCTATAGAGGCAATCCTCCACTTACCACCATTCGTTTAGTGACCGTACGAAGTTACAACGGCCCTGGGGAAAAAAAAGGGACGTATGACCATTAAAAGAACCCTTGAATGTTCACTTCATTTTGATGCCAAAATTTTGCCTTTCTCTCTCGGCAGTGTCGCTCAACGCACGCCTAATCAGCAATGCCTTCTCTTCGTTGGATCCTGCTTCCAAAAAAACCCCCTTGATTATTATTGTTATTATTTTTAAATCTTGGCACAGCCAGGAGGAGGCGGAATTATTCCAAGCAAAGGTCTCCGCTGGCCAAATTCTCTTGCCTTTGTCTGCCTCCTGCGAAGGGATGAGCCGTTGACGGCAAGTGCCCTTTCTAGTGGTCGTGAAATGTTTCTGAAACGGGGCCAGGCACAAACATCTATCTTGAAAATGAGGTTAGCCCAGCTCAGAGACGGCCAGCTGGCAGCCCGTTGGGCAGCTCCAAGCCAGTGGTGGGATTCAGCCGGTTTGCATCACTTCGGGAAAACCGGTTCTTAACTCTCTGAGCAGTTTGGTGAACTGGTTGTTGGAAGGAATCATTAGGGCAGAGAACCGGTGGTTAAATTATTTGAATCCCCATCACTGATAACAGATAATCAGAGTTGGAAGGGACCTTGTAGGTCATCTAGTCCAACCCCCTGCCCAAGCAGGAAACCCTACACCATTTCTGACAGATGGGAGTCCAATCTCTTCTGCGATGGCGCTCCCACGACTTCCGAAGGCAACTTCTGTTCCATGGATTGATGGTTCTCAACTGTCAGAAAATTCCTCCTTATTTCCAGATTGAATCTCTCCTTGTTCAGTTTCCATCCATTATTCCTTGTCTGGCCTTCAAGTGCCTTGGAAAATAGCTTGACCCCTTCCTCCTCCTCTCTGGGGCAGCCCCTCAACTATTGGAAGACCGCTATCCTGTCTCCCCTGGTCCTTCTCTTCCCTAGACTAGCCAAGCCCAGTTCCTGCAACCGTTCTTCGTATGTTTTAGTCTCTATCCATTTAGTCACTCATCAATTTTACGTTGTCTGTAAGCCCTTTCCCTTCTGGTGTGCTACAGCAGGCACAGGGTGAAAGAAACATTCAAGGCAGGCTCAAAATAATTGCAACATGTTGTGTGTTCTCTGTCCTAGATTCTGTGTGAAATGTTGTGCTGAGTTTGTGTCTGTTGGCACTTATTCTCCAGCATTTGATGGACAGGTCCCAGAAGACACCTTACAGGAGTTACAGCTTTTGCTACTCGAAACACTCAAAAAAGAAGAGGAAGAAAAATTCCACACACCCCGCCAGCCCTTTTTTTCCTTAGAAAGCATCCCGCCACGCCTTGCCAGACTGTTTTTTTCAGAACCGCTTGAAACCAATCCGTGAAAACCAAATTGCTCTCGTTATTATCATTATTATTATTTTTGCAATAGATATTATTACCGAGTCGATTCAAATGGGTGTGTTTTCCCCAAACCACCCTTCCAAATTACACAAAACAATCCCACCGGTGCAGGACAGAAGGCTGCTTCCTTTTGGAATTGCAAGCTGCAATTTACCCCCTGGCACCTGCCAGACGGCTGTTTTTTGCAGTGTGTGTGTGTGCGTGTGTGTGTTAAAACTTGGCTATTTTTCTGCTTTTTTGCAAAGAGCTTTCTTGCTCACCCACCCACCCATCTCCTCAAGGACATACATCCCTCTTATAAATGTGTTGGGCAAAGAACCTTGAACAAAAAAATAATAATAAATGCATTGTTGTTATTATTTTTTGTTGTTGTTGTTTAGGGGTGGGTTGCCTTAAGTTGGCGCAAGAAAGAACCGGCGGTGAAGGAAGACTCGTTCTTTTGTGTGCTAAAATAACCTCGGTGCTCTCCGCAAGATTAATTTCTTAATCGGGCCCTCTCGAATAGATCAAAGGGGGATTTCTGAAATGGGTTGGAAAAATAAGAAGGGAAGGAACCTGAGCTGCCTCTGAAGGCAAGTTGGAGGCGTTTTCACCTCCTTAGGAGCATCTTCCCCTCTGCTCAGCCCTCACCCCACTGCCTCCCCCACCCCAGCCAGTTTTCCTGCTTGTTGGGAGTCGGTCGCTTCCATTCCAGGCTGTCCTCGGCTTATGACCTACAACCGAGCCCGGAATTTTCCATTCCTGAATTGAAACTTCCGTTCAGCGAGCTCTTCCCCATTTGACGACCTCGCTCGCCAAGAGTTGTTAAGCGGATCGCTGCGGCTCTTTAAAGTTCATCCC